CTAAAATGATCAAAATACCGAATATAACGTATATATGGGGGATATACTATATCGTGGACCTATATAGAGAGTCTTATATAGGCAGTTATCTTTCTTCTCATAAAGAACTCCTTGTGTAGAATTTCAGACAATTCCATTGAAAATGTTACTAAAATCATCAAAATACCGAATATCGTGGGGGTACCGATGTTATATGGGGGCTATACGATATCGTGGGCCGATATAGCCCATCTTCGAACTTGACCTGCCTGCAGACAAAATACAGATCTGTCTTAGAATTTTACGCTAATGAAGAATATATATACTTTGCTGGGTCTAAAATTATTATTTCGATGAGTTACAGACGGAATGACGGACTGAATATACCCTTCATACTACGTTTGGTGGTGGGTATAAAAATACCAAAGCTCTTTTATGGATAAGAGAATAATCGAAGAATTTCTATAGACATTTGGAAGCTCTTCTATATAGAGCTTTTCTATAGACAGAAGACATTTCAAAATCTCTTTTATGGATAGAAAATTGCTTAAACATATCCTAAAGATAGGGGAAGATCCCCTCTTTTTTAGGCTAAGAAGATATGGAAAATACGTTTCTAGAGACTAAATATATTTCAAAGCTCTTGTATGTATAGAAGAGCTTTAAAGCTCTTTTATAGGTAGATTACCTTTCTTAGAAGACCTTTTAACTACCTTTCGCATGGACATTTGGCATTTCATTTCAGCATTTAACTCCATTCTCCTGCATTTCCAATTCCCCATTTCATTATTTAAAACACTTCACATTCACAAACGCACGCACACACAAATAATTAAGTCAACATTAAAGTGATTTAAGGCTAAGAGGTGTTCTGTTGCCTCCCACCCAAAACTATTCCCATCAAAACCATAGTCGAGCCAACAACCAGTTACTTCGCAAATGATTACTCCTCTGCCTTGGCCCAAAAAGCAAAATGGCAGTGGGAAAACAGAGCACACACACACACGCACACTTAAAGAATGGAGCAACAAAACGTTAACAGAAAATATAAATTACCCTGGGGGCCAAAATGAAATGAATGCGAAGAGACGGGACGGGTGGATGAACGTAACTGGTGTTTTCAAGCTTGGGACCTGATTATCAAAAATGACATGAACATGAAATGCGAAACAAGAACGTTTACCTCCTCTCCACTGCTTGCTTCAAGTAGTAAGCGAAGAAGAAAAAGGAGAAGGGAAGTAGAAAAAGGGGTCATAACTTAACTGTGGAACACGACGACAATTACAAGGCTAAGACGAGAGATGCATGGGAAGGTGTAGCAACAGAAATAAGTGTAAATGTAACAAAAGTCCACATTAAGGCCTGTTTGGCTTTGCCATATGATGGATGCTCCAACCGGTCGGTTATGCTGAATGCGAAAAATGTGGGTGTTGTTCCGCCTAGAGTATCTACATGGCCCATAAAATAAACGAAAAAACGCAAGCATTTGTTGCGTCTTCTTATCGTCTGTGGAAATGCGAAGAGGCAGTGCGTGTCAGTTTTAGTTGCCACCATAAAACGCCGGGAATGTCCGAAGTAACAGGCATTCCACAATTTTTAATGACTTTTAAATTTGCCTTAAATAACCTGTTTGTTTAAGAAAAAATGTTATAATTTTTAATTAAATGGTATTGTTTATGAGATTGGTGGATTATAGCATTCCAAAATCAAATTTCATTTTTCCCTGAAATTCAAAACTCCAAACCACATCATTTAATTGATTTATTAACTTATCGTATTTAATGGGGTTTCAAAACCAAAAGTTAAACCACATTTATCAAAAACTCACACTATTTAAACAAATTCCAAAACAAATCAAACTTAACCTCAAACTCTGGTAATTGCAATCTGAATACATACAATGTTTACATAATTAAATTGAAAATAAATAAATGAACTCATTTGCATAACACAACAACAACAACACGGCCGAGTATATCCTGTCGTTAAACTAAATTAGCGTTTCAAATGCAGTTGATTTCCGAGGAAATGAAAAAAAAAATATTAAGAAATTAGTTTTATTTTGTTTTTAATAAATATGAAGTCGAGGAGGAGGATCTATTTCCATGTAATCACATTCACATGAGCTATAGAATAGAGGAAGACATGAGGAAAATTTTCATAAAAATGTTTTGAAATATACCTATTCTTATAAAAGAAGAAAATGTTTGTTTGTTTTTCTGTAAATTTTGGACTCGAAAACCGCTGAACACATTTTCCTGAAAATTTCCAATTATACTAAAAATTTTTGAAATTTGACTTGGAACTGGAGATATCAAAATCGGAGGTACCTCCCCAAAATTTAGATTTTAAATGTACATATCTATTGATCGATCACTGATACAGTCCCCACATTTGGAATGCGTAACAGAGTTTGAAATAAAAATAAACTTGTCAAATTATATTGAAATCGGTTCAGATTTGGATATAGCTCCCATATATATTTTCGGCCGATTTCAGGTATTTGATGCACCAAGCATGCTATGTATCTCTAATTTCAATGAAATTTGGAATGTGCAACGGTATTTAAAAGGAATATACATTTGTCAAACTATATAGAAATCGGTTCAGATTTGGATATAGCTCTCATATATTTTTTCGATCGCTTTCGTTTATTTGATACACCAAACACGATATGTGTTCGATTCCAATTAAATTTGGAATGTGTGTCGGAATTTTGACCAGAAAATAATTTTGCCAAATTATATTTAAATCAGTTCGGATTTGGATATAGCTCCCAGGGTCAGATGAAAAAACTGCTGTCATTTCTAAGCCACTCGTTCGACAGCTTTTAAAATTATTTCAGTGACAGCTTTGTTTACAAGAGTTCAAAAGCATTTTGGTGAAACTTTTCCAGAAACAAAGTTATTCGTGATGGAATTCAAGCGTGATAGTGTGATTTCTTTATATTTGGCCAGAAACCCACAGGTGGCTATCGTTAGAGCACTCCAGCATTTAAATGTGAATAAATCTTTTGTGTCTCGTACCATCGCTCGCTGCCATGATACTGGTAGCGTAGTCCGACGTCAAGAAAGTGGACGGAAGAAAACAGCAACATCAGCAGAAATGGTTGGAAAAGTAAAGAAGCTACGTGATCGAAACCTCCGTCGTAGTGGCCGAAAAATGGCTCGTAAGCTGAACATATTGCAATATTCCATTCGGCAAATATTGAAAAATGAGCTCGGGGTAAAGCCATTTAAATTCCAAACAATGGAAGAACTTAGACCTAAAAAGAGCTAAAGAGTTGCTTCGCTTGGCCGAAAGTGGTGAACTGCCGAATTTGGTTTTCGATGGTCCGACGAGAAAACATTCGCTGTCCAGCAGTTTGTAAACAAACAAAATTATCGTGTTTACTTGCAAAAGAGGTCAGCTGAAAATGTGCACCTTCGGTTGGCCACCAGAACTTAAGCGCCGGCCATGGTGATGTCGTTGTCGATGTCGATGTCGACTGTCGTTCTCCGCTCGTATTAATCGACAGTGGCATCAGAATAAATGCTGAATATTATCGCGAAATATTATGGAGGGTGTATTAAAGCCTTGGGCACGCAAACATTTTGGCCGCAGATCTTGGTCATTCCAACAGGACTCAGCACCATCGCACTCAGCACGCGCCAACCAAGAATGGTTACAAAATGAAGTTCTTTGCTTCATTTCCAGCGCACAATGGCCACCAAAATTTCCGGATACCATTTCGTTGGTATTTTGAAAAGCAAGGTTGGCACTTAAAAATATCAAAGTGTCGATCACCTCGAACAAGCGCTTCGCCGGGAATGGGCCAAAATACCGCCGAGCAACATTCGGGCAGCTTGTGACGGTTTCATTGGCCGTTTGAAGGCCATAATTCATGCCAAAGGAGACCAATTCGAACAAATCTAAACTTATTCTAAAATTCGATGCTATTTCCGACGTTTTTTGCTTTCATTCAATAACATGTAAAAAAAAATTAAATATTATAGCGTTTGACTTTTTTGCAGTTTTTTTTCTATCTCACCCTGTATAGTTTAGTGAAATTTTGCGTAGAATATTTCTTCTATTGACAATTTTCCAAGACGAAATGTTGTGTTACTTTTAGGCGTCAACTCGAAAAAAGCCCAAGGAAAAATTGATCAAAATAAATTAGGGAATATTTTTTTTTCTGATATGCATAGGAAAGAGGGACTTCTTTTCTTTAGTGACTTATCGTGAAATTTGATTTTTGTCTTTGACGTCATCCTCCCAAAATGATGATTTGTTGGAGATATTTTCATAAACCAATGCAAAATACGGCTTTAACACTAATATGTGTTTTTAGCGCATATTAGGCATTTTGGTAAGATGTAGACTCTTGACGTCTTTTAGGATCTATAGTTGAATTTCTACTTGCTACGATCTCGTTAAATGGAGTTTTTATCAATATTTTTTTAAAAAACAAAAGACCAAAAGGGTCCCTTTTTTTAATCATTAAAGGGTTGAAAAATATAATATAAATATAAAAAATATTCCTCGTATTTTTATTTGCAATATTACTGAAACACTATTTACCTAAAATGAGCAGATTCCAAGGAATCTTAATCCGAATATTAAAAAACATATATATATATATATATATATATATATATATATATATATATATATATATATATATATATATATATATATATATATATATATATATATATATATATATATATATATATATATATATATATATATATATATATATATATATATATATATATATATATATATATATATATATATATATATATATATATATATATATATATATATATATATATATATATATATGAGGGGGAAACTTTTTAGGATATTTTGCAATGTAAACTGCCACAATTCCGGTACAAGTATCTTCGTTTTTTAGTTCCCATTTTATAATCTGCTGGATTTTGCTCATAATATTTTTTTTCAGAATGTAATGTATGACCAAACTTATTGTTGGAGATTTCAAACTCATTATGTTCTAATATTAATGTTTTTTTTTCAGATTTTCAGCGGCTGTTAGTTTTTATAAATGGAACATATCTGGTAAGCATATTTAAGACATTTATTTTTGTATAGAAATATCATTTACTACTACAACTTTCATGTGAGGTTGGGTAAGGTTTGGAGGCGTGGCTGTCAGTATAACGTCGGGTAGCAACTTCCTCCTTTCGGAGTGTATGCGAGTATATTTTTTCGGAAAAATTACAGATAACAATTGGGAGTATATATCTGTAAAAAGTCAATCCTCATTAATTTAAATTATTTGAATGTCTTTTGGTCTCTTTTTCAAAATGGTAAGAGAACAAAGATTACACAAAAGTCGACGTCATAAATTTCTCTTTAGTTGTCAAAAAATGTCAAAATTCAAATCTAAACGTAAAGTTTTAAAACCTATTTTAGTGTCCAAGTCATCGAAAGCCGATTAATTTGCAAAAAAAATGGACTTGCCGTTAACAGACCTTAACGTCGTTGACCTGTTAAAACCCCCATTTTTATCATTTCAAGAGAGCATTAGAATTGCTGTACACGGTGAAAGCCAAAGTTAGCTGATACAACGAACCACAGGCCAGATATCTGCTCACGTAGAACTCAGTCTCCATTAAGTATGAATAAATCGACGTTACGTATAATAATGGGGATATGAAACAGGTCACTGCAACATCCTAATAGGAACGTGCTAATCAGATAACTCTAACATCGAAGAAAACATCAACATCAGCAGAAATGGTTGGAAAAGTAAAGAAGCTACTTGATCGAAACCCCCATCATAGTGACCGAAAAATGGCTCGTAAGCTGAACATATCGCAATATTCCATTCGGCAAATATTAAAAAATAAGCTCGGGGTAAAGCCATTTAAATTACAAAAAGTGAAGGAACTTAGACTCAAAAGAGCTAAAGAGTTGCTTCGCTTGGCCGAAAGTGGTGAACTGCCGAATTTAGTTTTCTCCGATGAGAAAATATACGTTTTCCAGCAGCTTGTGAACAAGCAAAATGATCGCGTTTACTTGCCAAAGAGGTCAGCTGAAGGTGCACATTACCTTCGGTTGGCCACCAGAACTTAAGCGTCGGCCATGGTGATGGTATGGGCCGCCATAACAGCCGATGGTAGCTCTCCACTCGTATTAATCGATCGTGTCATCCGAATAAATGGCGATAAACTGCAGGCTGTATAAAACAATCTTGCTCTATGAAGGAAAAGACTACGGGCTATGTTGGAACTTTCGACTCATCATCTCAGTGTACATTCAGACACGGATTCTTTTGTCTTCTATAACTTCGCAAAAAGGCTTGCGCCAGGCTCTTGCGCCAGAGCTAAAACATAAATTTTATTCTCCATTCTTTTTAATTCTCTCTAAAAAGATTTATCACCCTTCCTCCACCACCTCCTTCCCCTTCTTTCTTTTCTTATTAACTAAGGATGATCACAATGGACCGAAAGGTCTCCGAGTGAGATAGGGGCCAAGTGGTAAATCAGTATTGAAGTGTTCCGAAATCAGTTATGTAGAGGTATATTGTCAAGGGTAAAATATTCTCTTTCAAATTTTCCTATAATTTACTGAAGATATAAACGCAGTAACTCCTTCAAGTTTGTAGTAGAATGGAAAGCTGTAAAATATAGGTATTAATTTCAGAGGTTAAAAAAAAATTGAGAATTATGAAATCAAATTTCAGTTTTATACAATTTGACACATTTTTGCCCATCTAAAGTCTCTAGCACGAGGTGTGAGGGCATAATAATCCACCCAAATTATCACTACCGAATCTCATTATCCCAGCCTAGATTTTTTACCTTATTAGACAAAAAGATTTGTTTTCATGCTTGTTATGGAAGAAAAGCAACAAAACTTTTGTAAAATTTGCTTTGCACCCGTTTTTGGGTTAAAAATGGAAAACTACCAGACCCACAAAGTGTGCAAGTAGACCAACGGGTCATGACAATAAAAAAACGACGAAGACGAATGACTTCATTTCAGGCGAAAAACAAAATAAATTTTGTTAATTAAGATTTTATTTTCGGTGCAGAACACGCAGAAAGGGAGAGGTTGAGAAAAAAAGAAGGCTCAAGCATTTGTTGTTGGGTTCAAAATAATTTATTAAATAAGGAATTTTCATACTTCGTTAGTTTGTAGACACAACAAAACTTTTAAATTATTCCAAAAAAAGGCATTTTCACAAAAAAAAAAAAAAAAAAAAAAAAAAAACACTCTTGAAACATATTTTGGTGACCTTTATTAATAAAAAATGAGATTTTGGTTAAAATCCAAGTCATTGCTGTGTGTGCTTCTTGTTTGCCTGTGACATGTTGGGCTATGTAGATGTCTTGAGCAACAAGTTTGAGATTTTCTTGGAAAAAGAACATTTAAAATTAAAACACATTGCTCTAATAAGGGTTTGCCTTTTTTTTTGGGTTTCGGTGTAGGGATGAAGGGTGTTGCTGCTATGGAGCACTCACCCAACGAATTCGGTGTTAATATTTCATGCCTTAATAAGTAGAGTTCTTTCAAATCTGTCTTGTTGTTGGTCGTTTTGCGTCATTTCGTTGGAAAATACCATAAACAATTTGGGTTTATCCTATTTAAACATTTACCCTGGTTGCTTTTCTCTCTCCCTCTCAATCTCCTGCAAAATGCCAACCTAAGGTCGTCATATTAATATTAAATTGTTGTTGTTATTTGAACAAATATTACCAAGAATGGATTTACACCAGATTCATTGGGTAAAGGTTGCCAAAAGGAATGCTGTGGTCTAGGGGAATGATTTCACATAAAACTGACACAGAAGTTGCCTGGAATTAAATTCATAATTCATTGGTTATTCGTTTTTGCTAAATAATTAAGAGAAGTGAAACGCATGTGGTAAGGCAGAGCATATACGTTGTGTCAAAATGTATACGCCCCAATGAATGTGGGTATATTTTTGCGGGCGTTTAGATATTTTGGGTAATTAAAAGCATTTGTGGTATTTCGGTTTCTAAACATTTAAAAACGTATTTTGAAATGTTCATAATGGAAGTTTTTTGAATTTTCATTGTGGTCCATATGTTTGTAAACCGGAGGAAGGACAAGGGAGTTGAAAGAGGATAGAGTGACCTTTTTATTTGGCCTTTATTTCTAAAACTGACTTTTTATTCAGTTCGGCTTTACCCATGTGATTTACCACAATATTAAATTGTAAAATATGAGTAAATGATTGCCCCTTTAAGGCCTAGGATACGCGGCTAGGCATTGAGTATTGAAATTTGGTACGCAGGAAGGGCGACAAGGCGGACTTTTGGAAATATTTGCAGAAAAGGACTATTTTTGACTTGAAACTCTATACCTTTGAGACTAGAATCTACAAATTTGACATTTATTTGTTACTACGTAGTTACGTAGTACTATTAAAAAAAAATTGTACACTCCACCATAGCATGGAGGGCATATTAAGTATATTTAAAACCCCAAAAATTCAAAAGCATAAAATTCTATGTCGATTTACCGATGCATGTCCGTCTGGTGAAATCACTTTAGCCTCCAAGTGAAATGAAGTAGGTTAATAAAAGTTTACTCAGATGTGTTTTAGGTCTGCAGGACTTGTGGTTTTGAAAATGTTCTATATAGGTTCACGTTTTGGTATGGGGCTCATATATACCCGTACAGGCAATTTCAAACCGATTTTGCTGTAAATTGAGAGTGTGTGTTGCCAGTATGTAGGAAATACCCTTGCAGAGAACTGTATAGACCTCCATAATTTCGATATTTTGATGATTTGTGTCAAATGAATATGTCTGACATTCGGAATTAATAAACTTGTTTCAATTGATTTTTTTTTTGTGAATTTTGCAAGTTCCTTCCGTTGAAGTGGAGGATACAAAAACCGACTAAAATCTACTCAAAACTGTGTTGGCTTCAAATTCTATACTCCAGTAATTTCGTGTGCAGGTCGCCATTGATACCACTACTATACTATAAAAGGTAGTTAAAAACAAATAAGCAAAGGCTATAGTTTGCGGGGTCGACCATGTGATACCCTACAATATGCTAGAAGTCCCCTTATGTCCAAATCCATTTTGAAAGATTTTGCTTTTGAAATGATGTCGTAGAGCACTGCCCAGATATTACCCTTAGTTTTTTGACCAGGGACATATGCCCAATATTTACGTCCTGCTGTTCGTTACAGCTAAATATAATCCAATGGCCATCCAAAATGCTCGACTTCTTTCCTGTTCTTAACTCTCTTCTCTTGGAAAATTTCGCATCGATTTGTGTGATCAGTGAACATTTTTCTGTTTCATCTTTCTGTTCATTTAAACCCCTAAAAATAAAAAAATGTATCAAAATACTACATAATCTATATTAAAATCGTTATTAGCATCTTTTTATGTGATTTTTTAGATTTTATTCTTTTATGAAAAGAGGGCATTCTGAATTGACAAAATTTGTCAAAATCGGTCCAGCCATTCTTGAGATATAAGCATTCTAACTAACATTCCTTTCCTTTGTATATACACTTTGTACATATTTCGCTATATATCCGATATATTTACTATCGGCATCTATGTAACAGTCAGGAAATCTTCCAGTTTTTCGTCCATTTCAACCTCTAAATATTTTGCGATCATCTCCAAAAGCAATAGGCTTCTATTCTGACCATAACCCCACTTCCATTTTCAATTTTGTGAGAATCGGGCCTTAATTGCGACCTTCAGAGTGATTCGAAATAAACATGGTCAGACGGACAGACGGACGGACGAATATACATAGCTAGATCGACTCAGCTTGGTGAGATAGAAAGATCCATATGTATTTTCCTATATGGGAAACCAATATTTCGAGGTGTTTTGGCAAAATCAAACTTATAATACCCCTAACACATAGTTTTGTAGGATATTATAACTCAAAAAAATATCTTTTTTTTTAAACTTTCCCCGGTCTTTTTTCGAGTTGACGCATGAAAGTAACATACAATTTCGTTATTGGCAGAAAGTGTCGAAAGAAGAAATATTCTAGACAAATTTTCACTATTAATCTTAGAATAAACTATATAATAGAGCCACTATGGA